CACAAATATTTGCGTATTTGGCTCGGTATTTGGCATCCATCTAGGATAGGTGAAAATCTAGAAAATTGAAACTAGAGAAACAGAGAGACGAGAACACATAAACAGCCAAATATTTGTAGCTATTTGCCGAATGTGTTATGGAGGCTTAATATAACAAGAATGCATTCTCTCTACTTTTTCTTTCAGATTTAAAAACACTGAAACGCAAAACTGGACCTTAAATGAAACGAGGCCTTGAAAGTTTCAAAATGAGTAGTAAAAACGATGCTCATAGATGATGTCGAACCAAGTGTTGAACTATTGCAAGGTTGCCACTTCTCATGTAATAAAACCTCAAATGAAACATTCCTTAGAAAATAAAAGTTGATGTTTCTAACTGACTAATAGGGACTCAGAAGAATATTTTACTTAAAGCTTAGTTGAATAGTTTAATTGAAGCTCTGTTACTCCTAAATTAAAGCAAATTCAAAGGCATATCATAATTTTATCACTACAGAACTTATTACCACAAAATTTCCTTAAATTACCCCAAAAATTTCCTCAAATTGCCTTAAATTACCAAAAATTTCCCTGAATTACCACTATATTTCCACTAATTACCATATATTTCCACTAAATACCACTATATTTCCCCTAATTTCCAGTCATTACCACTCATTTCCCATAAAATTTCCACTAATTACCACTATTGTGTACACTAAATTACCACAATGAAATCCCCCTCGGGGCAAGAGCAGCTGCTTGATCCTTTTAGATTACAGCAAGGCGTTTGATACTCTCGATCATCAAATGCTTTTTGCTAAGTTGAGGTATTTTGGTCTGTCTCACTCAGCCTTAACGCTTATGAAGAGTTACTTGTACAATAGAGACCAGAGAGTAGTTTTGGGTAGCTCAGCCTCTTCTTCTGTCTGTGTCGGTCGAGGGGTTCCTCAGGGTAGCGTTCTAGGGCCTCTACTTTTTTCCATATATACTGCCGACTTTTGTAACTATTTAAATTTCTTAAACTCCCACCAATATGCTGATGACTTCCAGTTGTATTTTTCTTTTGATACTGACTTGCTTGAAGCACAGAACATTATTAATAGCGATTTGAATATCATACATAACATTTCCTCGGCTCATGGACTTCTCTTGAACGCGTCGAAAACACAGTTGCTTGGATTTGGAAGGAACTCTGCAGTACTTGCTAGAGATTTAAATATTACCCTAAATAATATTAAGATTAACTTTTCGGAATCTTGTAAGAGTTTGGGAGTTTATTAATTATTGCGGGTTCTAGAAGTATAAAACAAGTGGAATCGGTTAAATAAATATCTGGGAATTACTATAGACCAACACTTAAGGTGGGATTTGCATGTAAATAACCTTGTAAAAAAGCTCAGGTATTTGGTGTCTAGATTTCAATGTTTCAGAAAATATTTTAAGATGTCTGATCTCAAAACTCTGTACTTTGCACTTGTTCAGTCTCACTTGACATATGGCCTCTACGCTGCGGGTGGGGTGGCGTTAATGACTTTAATATTTCAAAACTAAATACAATTCAAAAATGGATCCTTAAAGTAATCTTCAACAAAGATAGAAAATATTCCACAGAAAAGCTATTCAATGAAAGCGGACTTTTAAATATCAGGCAGTTAATGTGTGAAAAGGTAGCTTTAAGGATTTTCAAAAATAAAGAACAAATTGAAGTCATGAGTCACCCGCACCAAACAAGAAATGTAGTTAATAAAAAGTCTAAACTTCCAAGAGCCAATAAAACAATAGGCACTAGACATATTGGCTATATTGCTCCTAGATTGTACAACATTATCCCAGATTATGTGAAAGGTGAAAGAAAAATTCAAAAATTTAAAAAGGAATTTAAAAACTGGATTAAAGGTGCAAATGACCTTATTAAAAATAAAATCTAAGTGACTTGAAAAAAGTGTTCTGTAGTGATATGATGTGGCAAATATATTCTCGAATGTGACTTAAAAAACTCGAAATTGACGTTATCCTCGATTAAGACATTTTTACCGATCAAGACTTTTCTAACCGATTAAGACTATAAAACTGTGAAGTATTCCTTCACAAACAACCTTCTCACAACAAGTGTGTAACACTTCAAACGTGAGTCTGTTTATTGCCATTTACATGTTTTCATATAGGCAACCTTAAAAGAATTGCTATTTGTATTATTTGAAATTGTAATGTTTGAATGTCAATAAACAAATTTATTATTATTATTATTATTATTATTTCGATTCAAGTTTTAGATTTGGACATCATATTTCTTATGTATTGCAAAAGTGCTATACCAAATTGAGAACTCTATATTTATTTAAAGACTTCCTGAGTACCCCCGTCAAATTAAGGTTGACTGATAGTTTAATTCTTTCACATATTTCCTATTGTGATATATTATATTGGCCTGCTCTTCTTGTTAAAGATAAGCAAAGTCTGCAAAAGCTTGCCAATGCATGCTTGCGGTTTTCCTACGGAGTTCGTGAATATGACCATATATCCTCTTATTATGTGGAATCGGGTTGGTTAAGACTGGAAGAGAAGTTTAAGGTACATATGTGCTGCATGGTTTATAAGATTAATTTATTTCAGGAACCTCAATACCTTTTGGATAAACTTGTTAAAATGTCCAACGTCCACCAATTTACTACAAGACACAATAATCTTTATTCAATACCTCGACACCGTACAGCTTTATATGAAAGATCGTTCACATATAATGCCATGAAATTATTTAACTCCTTACCTGTCAGCATAAAGGAATCAAGAAGTTTTTCCATGTTTAAAAATCGCGTTAAGATATACATTAAATCACAATAATTGAACAAATTGGGTAGGTACTCTTTAGAAAGAATGGCGAATGGTTAACTATTGCGGACATGGAATAACAGAGATCGCATAATTAATAATTAATTTCTTGTTTTTCTTTGTTTTATTTTATTTTTTTTTTTTTTTTTTTTTTCCGAAATTTTAGCTAATTTTTTTTTTTTTTTTTTGTTCTAATTTTGTTTTGCAAAGGGACTAAATTTTTCCACCATTGTAGTAAGAAAACTTTTCTCATGTATTTTTCTCTATTTTATTTTTTTTTTAAATTATTTATTTATTTTATTTTTTTCTCAAACACTATTTTTGAAATTTCTTGTTATTTTTTTCTTTTTTTTTTTTTTCTTTTGTATTTTCTTTTCCTAATTATTATAATTTTTTACCTAAGTATTTACACTGTGGGTGGTTAGATATGAGTAGCATGTGCTAGATCTCGCCACCCTACTTATTTCCAATTTGTATGGGTATTTTTTTTAGAAAATGTAAATAAAGTCATGTTATTATTATTATTATTATTATTATTATTAGATAATTATGGATCTGAGTAGAGATATAGACGAAAAATAGTAGGTTAAGTGGTGCATCTTGGTAGTCAGATCGGGATGATCTTATTTGAGGGGGAGGCAGTGTCAGATGCCCGGCCGGATTCTAAGAAATATAATTGTCTGCGCGACGCGTAAACAATCCGGGAAATTCTATTCAAGTAGTGCCCAGGTTTTCCTAGATAAATCCCGAGTAAACTAACTGCTATAAATAGCACGAAGTAGTCTTAAGTAAGTCAGTCTAGTCTAGGGTGACCATATTTTTTTCGTATGAATGCTGTACACATCTAAAGTTTTGGGACAGGTGAGTGGAGAAAGCACTAGATGCAAATTTTGTCGACTTTATGGCCCGTTTCAGTACCACTTAACAAAAAAAAAAAAAGAAAGACATAACATAATAGGTCTGTTCGCATAGAAATCACAAACCAGTCAGAGTGAATTTCATTGGTTGAAAACCTTAATGTTTGCAACCAAGGTTGTTTGAAAGAGGTAGGTTGGCTGATAACTTTTATGACGTCATCTGGATGCCTAAAATAATGCAAATCTCCATTAGATCTTCCTGATGGGGGATTCTCATCCTCTAGTCGCAACCTATCGTCTCGACTATCCCATTGCCTTTCTATAAGTGAGTCGGGAAGATAAGTTGCGACTAGAGGATGAGAATTCCCCCTCTGATGACGTCATCTGTTTACCATTACCAGACAACCTATTAACTTTAGAAACCTTGGGTTGAGATTAGTTTTCTGACTGTTTCTGACTTGCTGACTATTTTCAACCAATGAAATTCGTGCTGAGTGGTTTGTGATTGCTGCAGAAACAGACCTATTATGCTGTGTTTTCTTCTTAGCAGCGTGGAATAGAGAGAGATAAAAAAGGTAGTTAGCATTAAAAAGAATACTCTGGGAAATGATGGCGTAAATAACGTAAATCGCAAATGTAGGAATGTCGTTAGTTGACGGACAATTTTTCGTCATTTTTTTCAAAGAAAAAATTAATTATGATCGGATCCGAATCGCTGTACGTTTGCTGTACAAAATTAAATGCTGGACAGATTTTGAAAATCCTGTACAATACAGCGAAATGCTATACGTATGGTCACCCTAGTCTAATCAAGAGCTTTGTTTAAGCTATGGCGGGTATAAAACTATTTTCACAGAATAACTAAAAGTTAACTTCTCGAATGACGTTACTTCTCATGTTATTCCAGAAGTTAATTTTTAGTTGACTGTCATAGTAGTTTTATAATACTAATAACAAGTTTAAATTCGATATTTGTCGTGTACGTTTCGATAAGTGATAGTGAAGTTCGTATAAAGTCAATTAGTTCAATAAAAGTTGTTACTGTTCGTGAAGTGAGTTTCAGTGAACCCGGAATCCGTGACAGTGCTTTGATAACAAGATTTTTTTGTTCTTTGTACAATGAAGCTGTTTTGAATTGAATTGAAAATCCAAAACAAATTCCGGGAACTTTCCAGTTTTCCGGGTGTAGCGTCGCGACGCGTGGGCGGAGCGCAGCGCAACCTGCGACGCCGAAAAGAGACCGCGATACCGGCGTCGCAACGACTCGAACAAGAACAATAAAAAGAGGCGCGACGCGTGCGCTTTCCGAGCGACTGCACATTTTTCAGGTTGTTTGAACCGACCCGCTTCTCCGTCTGGGGTTCTTTCGCTCCTCGTTCCGTCAGAATTTTACGGAAATGCGACCTGGCGTTCGTCGAGAGTAGACCGCTCGCTCTGTGCCTTAGCAACCCGGAATAATATCGCGCGATGGTTTTGAGATAAAACTCGAAAAATAGTGAATTAAACTGCTCAATTTGATTAGTTTGAAATATACTGTTTTGATTTTTAATGGATGTGATGAGGATTAATTGTGGAAAAATGTGCCGGTTACAGGGTGTTGTTTTGTTTTCCGTTGTTTGCTTTATTGCTAGGGCTCAAGCTATACCAAGAAGTTGCGATTTGATTAAAAATAATCTTGAACTTAGGGGATTTCCTAGTCGAAATGTGCTCGATGTACCTCAAAATGGTAAGTTTAAATTCATTACAAAGATAAAGTTGAGATTTAAGAAAATGGGATTTCGGTTTTTATTGGATAAGCAGGTGAAGTACCTGATTTTTCTCAATTTGGTATTTTTAAACACAAGAAGATACCTACTAGTATACATGTATTACCATATAGGTACCCTAAAAGAAAAGACAAATTATCAAGTACAGTACCTACAATTTAAAATGAGTTCCAACGCACTCTACTATGTAGGTATACCTATACTTGCGTATTCACTACGTGCAAAAAAGATAAAATTCAAACTACCTATGTACTAGTACTACTTAACTTTATTAGGTACTCCATAACTTAATTCCTGTAAGTACCTATACATCATACCTCGCATCATACTTTGATCTTACGTTCCTATAGCTACCTGTACCTATTTTTATTCTATTTTGTTGAAATTTTCTTATCGATACTGATACTTACCTATCTAGTTTATTGTTTCAGATTAGCCAAAAACAAGTAAAAATTATAATCATCTGATAAAAGTATTCCGCGTTTGTTGACTAATTTTGTTTACCAATAAACACGATAATAATGTCTGCTGTGAATATTTTGCATTAGATATCTGTTCACTGTTGTGAAACTTATCGTTTTTCAAAGTATTTCAATTCCGCACTTAACTAATGAATTTAGAATATCTTATCTGCTGCTCAATTTTCATAACACTTGACGTCACATACCTACTCAAGTACTTAAGTTCAATCTCTCGTAAATTTGGACAGGGTTGAAGCATAATCTAAGGTTGAAGCTGTGGTTGAAGATTGTCCTTTCAGTAGACGTTGCAATATAAAAACGGTAAATTATTTTTTCAGTAGGTACCAATTACTCACTCGGATACAAAGTACCTAACAGATTTAAGTACTTTGGGTAAAATATAATTTCCCACAGGTAGGTACTAGGTACCTAGGTATTACCTATAATAATCTCTCTAGCAAAATGGTTTTCTACATTTTTGCTACCCATTTTTGGTATTATATTTATTTAATCAGTTCGTTATTTTAGATTGATTAATAACAATAGGGGATAGAGAAATCTTGAAAATAAGTCTGTAGGCGAGGACCAAGAAATGCCAAGAAGACTTTATTTATAATTTATTGAAAGAAAGTAGCTGAGTAGGTGTCTCAAAGAAGTACCTATATAAGCATTACTACAACTAAAGAAAATATGAAGAATTCTCTATATAGGACCCTATTTTGGTGCTCTACATGTCTCACATGAAAAAAATCCCAATGTGACCATTTACAAACGTGGATTTTCATTTAAATAAAAAAATGTAGGTATTATGAAATTTTGACACAGACCAACACATTACAAGATTTTGAACTTGATATTGGTTGAACTTCATCTAAGATGACTTAACATCTGTAAATGTATTTTGTATTTTCTGGTTGTTTTTCTCCTACTTCTTCAGGTTCCGAATAAATAAATTCTTTAACATTTTCAAATAATTACCGAAATTATGGAAAATGATGTTCCTGAAAAGAAAGTTCTATTCCATTAAAAACTTTTATTTCAGGACCTATTTCATTTCACACCTTGTTAAAACCAACACTTGTCATTATAAGTAATGAATTCACTTTTAATCCAACAATTACCTATAGTTGATAACTATATTTTAATCGGTTCCAATGTGACAAAATTATCACCAAACATTCAAATTTTAGTACAATAGTGACAATAGTACCTGCCTAAGTATAATCGGCAGAAAAATTCATAGAATTTCCAACTCTTTATCGGCAACAACCCATTGTTTCCCTCTGATGGTTATTGTATTTTGCAGAAACTGCATCAGGTAGTTGATTTTAAATAGTTAGGGTTTCATGGTCATGCAACCTTTCGGAATAAGTACTCTAACGAATGGCAGGTTCGGTTTTATTTGCTTGTTTATTTATCCGGTCACTAACCTGGGCAATTAAGTTAGGAATTTGTAAACGTTTTCGAGTAATTTAAGTTAGACTTGCCAATAGAATTAAAAACCCCGGAGACGTGATCTATAATAAATTTATATGGACAAATATTTAAAATAAAAAAACATGATTTTGACAAGTCACGTTTGCCTTGACATTTAAAAATTGTGGTTGTGGTTATTGATCTTTATTGATCAAGTGTTGAAAGCTCGGTTGAAAGTGATGAGATCCAAAAGTATTTTAAGTGAACATTATTTATTTATATCTGTAGTATTATCGTTGCAGCATTCACAGCATGACAGTGCCCTTCCGCTTTTGTTTTGATATCAACACCACTATTTACAAACATGAGTTCTGAATATCTATGACATTTTCAACTTTCAAAATTTGATCCTGGAAGAGAAGAATGGAATGGGAATTGGACTACCACAAGCAACGTTTCGAAACCGATTCAGACTCTGAAAAGGAAAAATATCCTTCTTAGCAAGGTTGGATCAAACACTTTTAAGATAATTTTTAATTATTTTAGCCAAATAAAGTCATAGATAAATCCTACGAAGGGTTAATCAAAGTCTTAGATAACTTTTATGGTAAGAACGTCAGCTGGAAATTGCGAGTTTGGTTGCTCCTTTCAAGAACGTCTACGCGATCAGTTAGTGATAGCCATCCAAAATACAAAATGGCAGACGAAGTTCAAGCAACAGCTTCTGCGTTAGAACAATCTTGTCTTGAGTCACAACGTTTATCAAGCCTTACACTTACAAGCAGTTTTGGAAACAACACATTCAGAATCAATAAACCAAATAAACAAACAAAGACTAACAGAAATCAAAAATTTAAAAATCATACCGAACCTTGACTTTCGTGCAGCAACTCAAGACATGAAAATATGCAACAGTGTCCAGCTAGAGCAAAACTATGTCCACTCTGTAATTCCATGAACCATTTTGCCAGAGTTTGCATTACAAGGGGTAAAGCAGAAATACAATCTTCAGACGAACGCAAGATTCATTTACGTTACAAAAAGATCATGATAAGAAAGTGATGAGAGGTATTCTTCTGGGAATACCAACAATGTTCGAACAGTCAACAAAGGTACAAAAGTACTTCTTGATATTTACATAAATTATGATAAACTTGAAATCCTGTACGATTCCGGATCTGCTCTTTCACTTATAGGAAAATCCATGTGCGGGAGAAATTTGGAAAGCCTAAATTAACTAAAACGGAAAATTTTTACGGTTTTGTAATAAAAACTCTTGGATATTATGAGGTAATGGTCTCAGCCTTTAACTAACAGCACAAATAACCACTACATGTTATTGGCAACAATGACATTTTGCTTTCTGGACCTAACTAGTATCTATCTTTCAAACTTTCTTTACCTCCAGGCTCCAGGAGTAGGAGTTCTGAACATAAAAGAAAATACAACATTGAATCAACAACAAAGAAGCGAATCTGATAATAACAACATTAGCTAAACGGCAAACATCGAAATAGAACAAATAGCCTCAGTCATTGATGAAAACGTTAAAAGTTTACTAAACAATAACCAAGATATATTCAATGGGAAACTTGGAACCATTACAGGCGTTGCTGTAAACACCCATATTAAACCGAACACACCACCCAAAACTTTTCGCCCCATAGCAGTTCCTATCGCTTTACAAGATAGGTACAAATATACTGAAATTAATCGCCTTGTTAAAGAGGATGTACTTTAACCGGTCAACATGTCAACCGATCCTCTAAAATGTCAACACCTGCTGTCGTTGTAGCTATGAAATCAAATGGTAGTATCAGACTTTGTAGATATTTCTTCGTATCAATTAACCCACATGTCATCAAAGATAATTATCCAATACCTCGACTGGAGGATGTTCTAGCTAAATTAAACGGTGGTAAGTATTTTTCTAAACTTGATTTGAAAGATGCTTACCTTAAACTGGAAATTCATTCAGACGCTAGAAAATACTTAGTTATAGCCACGCACTATTATAGATAGAAACGTTTACCATTTGGCGTACATTTTGCTCCATCACTTTTCCAACGAACAATGGATCAGCTCTTGTCAGGAATCAGTGGAACTGTATGCTATCTTGCTGATATTTTAGTATCAAGTCCTTCTAAGGAACTTCACCTAAAACATTTGGAACAGGTGCTAAAACGCCTGTGTAATGCTGGTTTTTGAAGACACAGTATCAAAATGTATGTGGCTGCAGAAAACTATAAATTTTTTGGGACACACTATCAATGCTGAAGATTTACATCCAACAAATGAACATTCAAAAGCAATTCAAGAGATGTCAAGATCAGGTACCATAACAAAACTTCGATCTTTCTTAGATTCAATCACTTACTACATTAGATTTTTCAACAAACTTCATGTTTTCTGCGTACCACTCTATGAAAAGCTAAAGAAAGGCAACACGTTTTCTTGGACAAAAGAAGATGAAAACTTGTTTCAAGAACTTTAATTTATTCTCACTTTTCTGAAACTTTGGTGCATTACGACCCAAAATTAACCTTAACTGTAACCAGTGATGCCAGTTCAAAAGGTTTAGGAGCAGTTCTTTTCCACAACTTTGTAAATGGGCACTTAAAACCAGTGGCTTTTGCATCAAGAACGGACGCTAAAAGAATCAGAATGACACTAAAGAAGCACTTAGCTTAGTATTTGCAGCACTATTTGCAGTGACAATAAGATTACATGGTCGACATTTCACTCTGATGACAGATCACAAACCTTTGGAAAGAATCTTTAATAAAGAACCTAGTACAACAAAAGTTGCTGGAAATTGACTTTTAAGATGGGCTATGATTCTGGGAAGCTTCGACTATGAAATCAGCTATCTACTTGGCAAAGAAAATGGACCGGCGGATGCTGTATCACGTCTCCCACGTGTTAAAACAAGCACTTCACCTGAAGAAGACACTGGGCCAACGAAAAGAGCTCATTGTTTACGAGTACGAGTCCATAATCTACGAGTTTCAAAAATGAATTAAAATTAGAAACAGAGAAAGACAAAATATTCCAGAAGATAATCAAATATGTCCAGTCTTATT